TCATCCAGGACCTATACCTACCAACTGCAAGCCAGACAGAGACTGGGCTCACCACCCGTGCTGCAGGACAATTTGTGCAGTCTGGAACACTCCTCTGAGAAAACCTACTGACCAGGAGTGGTTTGGACCAGCTCCCTGGTAAAATAAGGAAAGTTAGATGGAGAACTAATGTTGTCTTGGACTGAGTCCCCACTGAATGGTGGCCCTATTGAAGTTGTTGTAGACTCCCCTGAAGTTAATGTTAATAAAGAGTTGAAAGGAAATAATGAGACACCGTTATTTATTCCTGCTGAAAGAGAGGAACTGCTAAATCTCCTTACTAAACTCAATCACATCTTCACAATCTTTCTTTCTTTTCTTTTCTTTTCTTTTTTCTTTTCTTTTCTTTCTTTCTTTCTTTCTTTTGCAAGCAGCATGAAAGGAACATCCTTGAGAGTAACAGAAGTTTGCCGTGTTATCTCTCTGACCATATGAAGGCAGCAGAACACACATCTTTGCCATAGATGTCCATCATCTTACTCTGAATTTACTGCCTTGTCTTTTACTTTGCAAAAGAATGATCAATAAAGAGCATGAGTGGGTAGTGCTGGTAACAAACTTTCTTATTAGGTTATGTTGCCTTTTGATCAGTTTCATTATGTATAAAAAGAAATGTGCTTCTGGTCAGTTTAAAGGCAGATCAGGGAATAGGAATGCAACTGGTACTGGATGGGATTACATTCCCATTGAAAAAACAGGTGTGCAGCTTGGGTGTGCTTGTGGATTCATCCCTGAACCTGGATGCCCAGTGTCGGCAGTGACCAGAAGTGCATTTGCACAATTAAAACTAGTGTCCCAGCTGTGTCCGTTTCTTGAGAGTTCTGATCTGGCCATTGTGATACATGCCCTAGTTACTTCCCAGCTGGATTACTGTAATGCACTCCATGTGGGGCTGCCAACAGAAAGTGTCAGGAAACTTCAATGTTCCAAAATGCAGCAGCCAGATTGCTGACTGGGGATGGTTACGTGGATCATATAACCTCCCTGTTACAGCAGCTCCATTGGCTGATTATCAGTTTCCGGGCACAATTTAAAGTGTTGGTTTTGACCTATAAGGTCCTAAATGGCCTGGGTCCAAGCTATCTCAAAGACTGTATCTCCTGTTATGAGCCTGCTCAAATGTTAAGATCATAATGAGAGGCCTTTCTCGCTGTACTACCATCTTCATAGTTGCATCTGATGGGGACACAGGAGAGAGTCTTCTCTGTTGCTGCACCAAAACTTTGGAACTCCCTCTCACAGGAGGCCAGACTGGCCCCATCTTTGCTATCCTTCTGCAAGCAAGCAAATATCTTTCTCTTCAGGCAAGTCGTCCCTCATTAAACCAGCTACCTGTGTGCGATTTTTAGATAGTTCATTATACATTATTGCTGTCATGAGTTCAGCCGAAGAAGATCTGGAATCTGAGGGGTTAATTACAGCTGAGGAAAATGCTGGGCAATTAGAAGCACAGACAG